TCCAACCATGTACAGGTCAATTTTCATATAATCTTTTACTTATTAAAAAAAAAAAGTTCAAATTAATTATTGTCGAATATAATATAATTCTGTCAAAATTTCAAATTAATAAACAATATAAAATTGAAAATAATATAATTCTGCAAAATTTCATTCGAATATAATAAAAATTATAAAATTATATATATTATATAATTTTGTCCCTACATAAATTTAAAATTATAAAATATATTGTACCTATCATATTAAATTATATAAATAAATCTCAAGATCTGATTCGGCAAGTCCAAATAAATCCAACTATATCAATTATGATATTCCCTTTCTAACGCTGGATGTCGATCATTCAACCTCTCTTTTTTTGGTCCCAAGGTGAAAGCTTGGGAAAGCAGCCTAGTTCAAGGCTTGTAGTTCGTGCATGTGAAACACATGATTGAAGTATGGGGATAACAAAGTAGAGCAGTGTGTCAAACAGAGAGAACCCCCCTGAACAGCATATTCAGCCAGAAAATGGCGACTTGAAGTGAAGCATTTTACCTCCTTCAAGGCCCAACATATGCGACAAGCTATTCAGTCCTTCCCGTAATTACTCTGGAACACCAGTTCCACCAGTTCCTGAAAGGGCATCAGTATTCTGATACAGCAATGCTTCCCTCTGACACGGGGCAGACTAGACAATCCTCAGACGAACATAGACGAACAAATTACGGAGCAAGAAGGGAGAACGACAGATCCTTTCCTTGGACCTTTCCAGTTAGTTGGGTCTACCCTCTGGTAATGACTAACAGCTCGCCATGGTACGAGTATAGATGGCCCATAGTTAAATACCTATTAAAAATTGGTACTAGAAATGGTGATTTTCCATGGCTATGTTAGTCATAACCAGATGGGTACTAGAAATCAACAAGGAAAATCTATGCTTTCTATCACGATCCAAAGGCCATGGGCCGCCCTGATCCTGAGCGTTCTGAGTCTCGCACGCTGCAGCTGTGCCAACTGGGCGCATGAACAGGTACAAAATAGAACCAACTGGGTCCGACCAAAACAAACCAAGCGTTTGGGAGGCATTCTTCGATCTACTGACTTTGTTGGCTTGGACATGGATCTTGTCAAGTTCGGTCTCGGGAATGTGGAGCTCTTTAGGATCAAAGAGCACACATCTCCCGTCCAACCGCAGCGACATCGGGTCCTGAACCCAAAAGCCATAGAGGTTGTGCATCTGACAGCGGGGTATCGAGGCTGGGCATGGCTGGGCTGTGTTGTGTCCTCGCCTTACATGGCCTTGCCCCATCTTGCCCACAGGAAAAATCAAGAAATGGACGATTTTTCTGGCTAAATTATCATAATTCACTAACCGTCACTAACCTGTACATAAGGTCATTTGGGGATGGTCACCCCTACTAACCATCATTCCCAATGAGGTCGCGACGTGAAATCGTTATAAGAAATTCACCATTTTTGAACACACGACTTGTCTGAGCCTCCCGATCAATGGTCTCATTTCCACATCGAGGGAGCGAGTCCTCTATGGAGCCGACGGGTCCGGAGGAGAAATCGAGCCATGCATTGTGATCAACCTGGCATTACCATTCAATTTGTGTCCATAATTTTTCGAGTAACCCCCTGTCTTGAATGTATTTGACTCATCTTGACTCTAGAATCATCTAGAATCTAGATTCCCGTGACGCTGTTGGAATTGCGAATAAATTTGTGCTTAAGGGATCATGGACACAGGTCGGGTGTTCAAAGCCATCCAAGACCAAGGTATACCAAGGTCTTATTCTTTCTGCACATCTCACTACAACAGCTTCCCTCTGCGGACTTCCAAATTCCAATGCATCCACTTGAGGCCAGGGGTGACGAAAAGTGAGGTTGACCCAGGGGAAGAAAAGACCTACAAGTAATACTTGTGCATCCTGTTGCTTTTCGGGAAATTTCCATCCGAAAATGCTTGCCATGTTTGGCCATGTTTTGCCTTGCCAAAACTCTGCTGGGCAGGTTCAATGACCTGTGGGGGATCGAACCCTCCGATTACAAGACCCACCGTTCAAACGCGACGGAAGGGACGGAACTGACGGTTTTACCACTGGTTTTACCACGGCGCTTCGTGATTTCAGTGCCTGAAATTTGTTCCTTCTAGCAAGAGCAACTTCAGCTAGCTGATGCTAGATTTCGTAGCCTCTGGTTCTGTCAAAATAGCTATTGAACATGGTGATTTTCTTCGTTTTTTTATACCCATTCAGAGCATGGTGATTTTCCATCGTTTTTTGTAAACGTTTACCAGGCCGGGTAACTTCTGGGACTTTGGATCCCGCACCTTGTTGATCTCCGGCATATCAAAGGTCTGATTCCTTGGCCACTTTGAGACAGGGATGATCAGGATAATCATTGGAATATCATTGGGATAAAGCCTTTTAGCTTCATGGGATATCATGTTTTTTTTAGTGGGAGATCATGGGATGTCTTAATGGGACCCAATGTGATGTGGATCAACTCTACTTCCTCGAGGTTTTATTCCATTCTCTCATATGCATGAGATGCAAATGGATGCTGATCTGGGGAGTGTGAAGTGATCAGCAGCCTTTCTCCTTAACTTATTGCCGAAATGAACCAAATGAACACAGTGGATGATAATCAACAGGCTGTCTTATCAACTCCGGAGCTACAAAGGCATGACTTTCTCATCTTTATCTGTATCTATCTATAAATTATAAACATGATGTATATTTGTCTTTATTTATATCTATAGGATATCTATAGGATATCTCCATCTATTGCTGTTTCAAGATCATCCATAATATCTTTACCTATAGGATAATCATAATACTGTACTTCACATGGATCATAATGGATCTGTAAATAATAATAAATACTTCACATCCATATATCTTTATCTATACTGTACATAAACTGTACTTCACATGGATCATAATGGATCTCTGATATCTCCATCTATTGCTGTTTGAAGATCATCCATAATATCTTTATCTATAGGATAATAATATATAATAATTCTGTACTTCACATGATCTGAAACATGGACAACTTATGGGAGCCCGGGTGTAACTCTGGGAACCCGGGCTCCGCCTCCAGACGCCTCTCGTGATACTCGGCGATGTGCTTCATCTGGGCATCGTCCCATGGGAAAACCATGGGAAAACCATGGGAAAACCATAGGAAACCATAGAGTTGGCCACTTTCCAGTGTGACATCCTGAAAAATGAGAAAAATGATAAACATGAAGACCTAATTTTCAGAGCGTAAGTCCAGACTTAAGAGGCAGGAACGTCATGGTGCACAAAGATTGGCTGGTGATTTCCAAGTCATAATAGGTACAGAAATCCATCTGTGGAGACAACCTTTCTGCCCGCCAGCATCTTTCTCGATAGATGGGTTGCTTAGGACTTGGAGTGATTGAGACGGCAAATAGGAGTAGCAGTCTATAGCAATCTGCATCAAATGGTTGCTTCGTGCAGGCATAAATCCTTACAACTATACAAGTAAGTAAGAGAAACGGCTGGCAACGATGCTAAATGTAAGCAAACACTCAGCAGTCCTCTTGGATAGTGAATGGTACTGAATAGCTTGAGGATTGTGATTTTTGTAGAAGACCAATCCCTTTTTTTGCGGTTAAATCATGCATGTTGAATCTTTGGTTCTGAGTCGGTTCTGATGTACAGCGACCTAGTTCATAGAGATCGGCTTTAGCCATTTGTTTTTTGAGTTTTCTTCAACCAGGGGCTCAACCAGGGACTTACAATCCCATATGCGAACCATGGTGCTGGTATATTTACCTACAAAACTGGGTGGTTTTGGACAAGGGCAGTCATGTTGGCATATTCCAGCACCATGCTTCGCAAATATGGTTATCATTCAACTTCCAGGCTTCAAGAAATCCAACCACTTTCGGGGTCCGGTGGGACATCGAGTCACGATTTCAACCGCTTCTTCCGCTTCAACGGAGGTGATTTCAGTGGGCTCTCCAGTTTTGGAACCTCGCCACGACAACGGAACAGCACCGGGGTCACTGGGGTCACCTTTAAACTGGCATTGAATTATGAAGGATGGACTTGGGATGTTCCTGCGAAACTTTCACTTCAAGAGCAAGAGAATGCAGTATACATCAATAATATATATATATATATATATAATATGTATATATAAAAAATGTGTATATATATAAATACATATACATATATATATATATTATGTATGTATATATATATATATTCAAACCCTCAACCAACCACCGCAGCCACATTCTGCTGGACACAAGTGTGACTATGCTGCTCAAGGATATCGCCAACGGACATACACGGACTCGATACCTTGAATATCTTGAATCATGATCTGTACTGTGGAGGCGTGTTTAGATACCTTGAAATTCGACCAATACCTTCTTTGATTCCCCCCAATCTGGTTGGTGGTTTCAACCCCTCTGAAAAATTACTGTAGTCAGTTGGGAATAAAAAAATAAACAATGTTCCAAACCACCAACCAGCAATAATGTTGGGCACAATGCTCCCACTTGCTACCCTGGGCATGCAAACGCATCCAGGACTGCAAGAATTTCCCATAGACATCAACCACCTGCAGCGAAGATGACGTAGATGGTCAGACTCTCACCAACCAGTTGGGAAGCTGCTCCAAATTCATGTTTTAATGGAGGTTTCCTAAAGACATGGCGGGTTTTTCCCAGTCATCATCCATATGTTTGATGGATTTTCCATGAAATCAACCATCCAGCAATTGGAAATCATCCATGTTTTAGGAACCCCCCCATTTTGAAGAGCGACCTTGGTGTAGAACGCCACAGCACGTTCTGCCTTCTGATGACCTCATGGCCCCGGGAGCCAAGATTACCGTCACTATATATCTAGACACACATACTATGTATGCATGCATGCATGCATGTATGTATGTATGTATATATATATATATATGTGTTTATTCCTGCTACTATATATATAATATATACGGACACGCATCTATATATATATATAGCTTATATATATATAATCGTCTATAATCAAATTATATTATATATTAATGCATTATATATATAGACACATATCTGCAAGTCGGTAAGTGCTATACTACTATAATCCTGGTTTCCCTTCCACTTTTTTCCTGAGGTACCGCACTTTGAAACACCCGGCCCATGTGAAAATATGACGGAGCAGAGCGAATGTTCTCTGGACCAAACTCGAGGGAAGAGAAGTAGATGTCCTGGCATTCATGCAATTTCATGCAATCAAATTTGGGGGTTTGTTAAAATGGGGGATCCCATTTTAACCATAGGTTTCAATACTCGAATTGCCATAAATTGCCTTGGATTATGACTGGGGGTACCCCTGATGACTTGGAAACCTTCAGATCGCAGCATGGCTGGTCGAGGAAACATGCCATGGGAGACAGTGGCAAAGGCTTGCAAAGCCTGCAACAAAATCAACAAAGCCACTTTGCCAAGTCACAGCTAAAATCTAGATGATTTCTTTGAACATGACTCACACTCGTGGACAATCTGCATCCCTGATTTCGAGCACAACAAACGTCAAAGAACATCTCAGAATCTCAGACTAATTCACAGGTCCCTGCGAGAAATGACTGCGATCAGCCTGTCCTTTGATCATCCCCTGTGATTGAACCGGTCGCATCCCACGCATCCCACGCAGCGCATGCAACAGATCTTTTCAGATCTGAAACAGTCCCGGTTACATTCGCGCCTCGTTGTAGCGCTGCTGAGCCGCATAGAGTCGCCCAAAGTTCCGCTGCAAATTGGACATCATCGAGTTGCTCGCCTGGACGCTGAACATTGGTCGATTTCGCCACCCAAAAAGTGACATGTCGTCGGTAGGGCGGGGTGAGCTCCGAAATGGGTAACAAAAACCATGGTTACCCCAATTTATGATGGAAAATCATGGAAAATCCGATGAAAAGGGATGATTTGGGAGTACCATGGAGTACCCATATTTTAGGAAACCTCCATGAATATATGTTTATGTCGTGATTGAGCCCAAGGATAGCGGGAGCCAACAAGGCAAGAATGAGGCAACCATCGGGGCCTTGCTGATATGGCCCATGGTCAATCTCAACTGACTCTTCCTCAATTCTCGCGATTCTCGCATATGCTTGGGGTCAACAAAAACTTACCACCAATCCTATATCCATTAATGGTAATATGTGGTAATATATTGTAATATATATATATGGTACATTTATTATACATACATTATATATATGGGTTTGTCTGAAAATAGGGTATATTCCCAAACAAATAGCCATTTCATAGGGATAATGATCAGCAAAACCATTGGGTTTAGGGCTACACAACATTTTCAGAAAAACCCATATAATATGGTATGATATATGGTATATCATGAAGTCTCTCTGAGTCATCGGATGGAACGGGATGAAGTACAAAAATGGACTGGCACTTGGTGGTTTTTCGCCACCCCTACCCCTCTGAAAAATATGAGTTCGTCAGTTGGGATTGTGACAGTCCCAATACCCATGACGGATCCGGCTGGTGCTGGTATATTCATGCTAACATGACTGGGTTTTTTTGATGGGATCCATGGAGCACCATATATAGCAGCACCGTTAGGATCCGTCATTGGATATATCAAGATCATCACCAAATCCAAAAAATATCAAACAAAAATGAGTCAGTTGAGATTATGACATTCCCAACTGAATGGAAAAAAATAATTAAAAAAAAAAAAACGTTCCAAAAGCACCAAGCAGATATATAGATCTATTAAGTCCATATTAAGATATATTAAGTACCATTAACCCATATTAAGTCCCTATTGTTGATGGTTCCTAAAATCTGCCCGGAAGTTCCACCGTGTTCCACCTGTGGGTGCTTCAGGATGTTCCAATTGGCCAAGGAAAGGAACTCCTCAGCAATCTTCAGGCGCCTGAGTCCCAGGTTGGCCTTGGGCTTGCGATTCCGAAAAACGAAAAAGGCAACCAGCCGCTGTTAATACAAAACGTCACTTAAAGAGTTCCGGAACTTCATGGAATTTCAAGCAAGACTAGTTAGTTTATGTTAGTTCTATCTTTTTTGGATTTGGTGATCTTGATATATCCCATGACGGATCCTAACGGTGCTGCTAGAAAAATGGTGCTCCATGGATCTGTCATGGGTATCTTGATGCATCTTGGCAATTTGCCCAAGGTGACTCTGTCAAAGTCCTCATTTGTCGTTCAAAAAGTGTGTCGTTCAAAAAGTGTGTCCAAAGAGCGTGTCCTTGGAGTCCGGACCTCTGCCAGCAGCAAGTACGACGGTACCAACTCGGGTGCTTCCGCCCCAAAGACGTCGATGGCGAACTTTAAGCCTGTCATGCCGCGCGCAGACGGAATGTCTTTGGATGATGGATGAAATTGCCAGACACCACTTTATAGCAAAGGATGCCAAATCTATGCTGCCTGTCTTTGCCCATAGAATTTAGCTCCGATCATGCCCAGAATGGAATTCAGTGAAGAACTTTCAAGTTGCATAGAAGTCAGACTGAAAGCAACGAACCACGAAGAAATATCAGCTGCAAAAGTAGCCATGCTGTGGCTTGTGGTTGATCACATCATGACATCATCGGCTTTTCACAAGCAAAACGTGACCAAAATGCCAAGTCAAACATGTTTGACCTCACACCTGCACTGCACCATCTTGCAGACTCCAGGATCATACCACACCAAACGCAACACCAACGAACTTCCCAACATCGTCCCGGTGTCTGAAGCCACTGGGTGCCCCATACTTTGTAATGCTCCCGGTACAGCAAGGTCATACTTGCCCTGGACCTGCCAACGACCAAAAACCAAACAAAAAACAATTTCTCTGTCAAAGTTCGAATCGGCCCTTGAAAATAGCACATTGTGGACACGCACCTTTGCGATTCAAACAAATTCAAACATAACCCATAGGATCCATGTATGCTATATATGGTAACATTTACCATCAATATACCCCTAATGTTACATAATTAATTCAGCCATGATATATGCCGTAATCGAGCAAAACTAATGCTTCACCCGTGTCGTTCGGGACAGCAGCTCGACCACTGGCTTTCAACCAAACCACAGAGGCAGCAACAGGCCGAAGGCAAAAGCGTCAGAACATCAGGCAAAATCACAAGATGTCAAAACCATCACCGTTGAGACAATTGAGTCACTTCATTTTAATCATATATAATCAAATATAATCATGTATAATCATATGTAATCATATATGATCATATATAATCATATATAATCATATATAATCATATATAATCATATATAATCATATATAATCATGGTAGTCCATTCATCATTGAGACAATTGAGTTATCCCAATGCCACGGTCGTGTCGGCGTCGCTCACCAGGAATTTCTGTGCCGTTTCAGTGCACAACTCGAGGAGCTCCTTCCGGATGCCCATCAGCTCCTGCCGGTTGATGAATGTTGATGAATCCTTGGATCCTTTTTGTCATTATATTATGTTGTATTGTATGATTTTTAATTATATAATATAAAAATATATTGTAATATATTGTATAAACTTATATTAAACTATATTGTATAATATTATATCATGTTAAATTATATCATATAAACTTATACTACAAAATATTGCATTATATTATATCATATTAACTTATATCATATAAAATGATACTTTAATATATTGCATTATATTATATCAAATTAAATTCTATCATATAACATTATATCATATCAAATTATATTATAATCTATTGCATTATATTAAATTGTATTATATTATATTAATTGCATTATATTATATTGTATTGTATTCTACTATTTTGTATTATATTATATTATATTATATTGCATTATGTTATATTGTATTATATTATAGTATATTGTATTAAATTAAATATATTGTATTATATTATATTTCATTATATTTAATGATATGATATTAAATCATATTATACCATATCAAATAAATATTATTTATATGTATGATATATATGCATGTATACATATATATATGATAATATATCAAATATCTGATGTATATATATAATAATATATAATAAAACACACATATATATATATAAGAATAAGAAGAAGAAGACAAATAATAAGAATAGTCATAATATATATGCTAGCCCCCTAAAGATCTACCTTTTCGAGCTTACTGGGGGTTGCCACATATCAACGATTTATCAGAGGGTTGCCATTACATACAATGGTTAGTCTTCTAAGATCGGGGGGTTAATATAGTTTAATGAAGATAAATCTTGAATCTGGAATCTTGTACCCAAGAGACTTTGCAAAATTTGCAAAGTTTTTGGGATTCAAAAATCAAGGTTCTGAGAAAAACTTTTTGCAGAATCTTGAATCTTGAATCTCGAATCCAGGAAACTTTGCAAGTTTGCAAAGTTTCCGGCATATAATGTGCAGATTGGTTCGCCACCCAGAAGTTTACTTTAAACCATGGGAAAACATACAACACAGCCAAGACTTCAAAATTTTAAGCAAACAACTTTCAGCGCATGAACTATGAAGTTTTTTTCAAAGCAAAATCCTCCAATATATGCCTTGCGAAGCCATATTTTTTCAAAGATGACATTCCTTACATAACGTGGCATTATTTTGCAGAGTCCCCTAAAATAAAAGAGTGCAGCACTTCTTTGAAAGGAATATTAGAAGTTCTCTTAAAGAGGTAAAGGAATCTGTGGAAGGGGGACAGCATTATTTCAGCATGGAATCCTTTGAGCTTTTCTATCCACTTGAAACGATTACGGTATTTCTTAAAGAAAGTCTTGGTGCATAGGCAGCTTGCTTCCTTTACGAGGGGGTGAACCCATTGATTTGATTGAAAGAAACAGGTCTTGGTTGTATATGTGCAATGTGCTGAAGGTTTTTGTACAGGTATATTTAAATAAGAATAAAAGCTATATTCAAGGTATTGGAATGTTATATGAAACGGTATACTGAAGGTATATTATATAAATGGTATTTCTCAAGGTGTATTAGATGGTTTTCAATTGTATATTAAAGGTATATTAACAATAAACATGTTTTCACGGTCAATAAAATGGTATATTGAAGCTATATTGAAAAGCAAAAAGTATATTAATGGTATATTAACGGATATACTAAAGGCTGGTAAATGAAATGGTATGTCAAATTCGAAAGTATTTCAAAAGGAATACTTTTAAAATATCTTAAAGGTATTAAAGGTATTAAATGTATTAAAGGTATTAAACGTATATTAACAACATATTCAAGGTATTCTCATGTTGTGCTAAAATGGTATATATACTAAATGTAGATTAAAAAGTATATTGAAGGTGTATATATATATATTATATAGAAGGAATCTTCAAGGAATACCATGTTTTTCAAGGTCAAGTGCATGGTATATCAAAGATAGATTCTAGGTATATCAGATGGTATACCAAACATATACTAAACTGTATAAAGGTATATTACAGGCGTATTAGATGGCATTTAGAAGGTAAACCAAAGGTACTTGAGAGGTATCCCAAAGTTGTATTAGATTCAAGAACATGACATGACCAATAAAAATGTATTTAAGGGTATATTAAAGGTATGTTACATGGCATATGAAAGGTATATTGAGGGTGTATTATATTTACAAGTAGTATTAAAAAGACTTATCAAAGGTATGTTCAAGATATTTTCATAGTCATTAGAATGATATGGTGAGGGTATATAGAAGCTACGTATAGTAAAGGTATATTCATTGTATATTGAATATGATTGATCAAAACATCATTCTTACTCTGTTACCTCTATTTCATCAACAATAAAAAGCATGTCATACAAGAAGAATGAGAGGGCTGAACTTCATCAAAGGATGTATTGCATCCTTCCACACATTATAGTTTTGGTGCAAAGAAACTGCTTCTTATTGAGAGGAATATCTTGTCTTCAAGGCAAATTGCAACCTGTAAGCAGCATTACTGCCAACTGAACCCTCTTCAAATTGCTTATGCTGTCCTCTCTTATTGCATACGACATGCAAAGATGGTAGATCTTTGGGGAGGTACCATAAACAATATATATATATACATATACATATATATATATATACATATGTATATATATATATGTATATATATATATGTATATATATATATATGTATGTGTATATATATATATATGTATATGTGTATATGTATATATGTATATATGTATATATGTATGTATATGTGCGACATATGTGCTTGTCTTGCTTTGGACTCTTTGCCGGCGAAATTGGGATAAGCTAATGACTTGCATGAAATCATTGAATCACCTCATTTCTTTCGTACAGATCACGTTGATTTAACCCGCTCAAAGCACATTTGGTTGGTGGTTGAGCCCTACTGTACCCCTCTGAAAAATATGAGTTCGTCAGTTGGGATATGTTGGGATTATGACATTCCCAACGGAATGGAGAAATAAAAGCCAGGTTCCAAACCACCAACCAGTTGTGTTTCAGGAACACTAAGCACATCACTCAAGTCACATCATGAGCAGTGTTTTGAAAAAATCATTGCCGGCGAATTCCGCAAAGCGTGGAAAGTAGCTGAAATATGCTGAAATCCAGAAACAAAAAAATCAGCGCAGTCAACCACATCACCTGAGCAGTGTTCACATTCCCTCGATCATTCCATTGGATTAACATATATTCAAATCCCCAATTGGGACCCAGATCTCCACCATGAAAAACTGGTTGGTGAATAATTTGAATAGGGATTCCCCGTTAGAATCCCCAATATATATCAATATATTGCAGTGTGTCAAAACCGTACCCCTTCTGTTCACATCAAAATAGCTGGGATTTATGGATGTTCATCCCCCTAAAAATGGTATTAATAGGTATTGATCCATACCCATATTGGGTAGTATAATCCCTCAACTAATCAACCAACCAGCCAGGCTTTTGAACACCGCCCTGTCGTGATCGCATTCGATGGAACCCATCCTCCGCACGGCGTTTTCGCTCTTCTTCGGAGCCAATCATCTTGGGCGGAGCGCGCAGGACCACGATGTCCTGCAATTTTTGCTGCAAAACAACGGTGTCAAAATACGCGTATGTGACGTGGGAGGATGTGGGAGCTGGGGGGATTGAGCCCAAACAACGGGAAACCGCCAGAAAATACCGTCAAATACATTTCCTCTTCTAAGCCGCTAGTATGCTGCTAGGTAGCGTTTGCAGGCACAATATTCTTATGCATAAAAGTGAAAATGAAGACATTCCAGACCGGATTCAAGATCTTGTGATATCTAGTGTTTGGGGTTGCGCTAAACTATGACAAAATTATCAACCATCTCCAAAGTGAGATGCAATGTGCAACATTCTGTTTACATCTTTGCAAACATGAAATGTTATATCAATGGATTGGTTTAAGGGAAAATTTACAGGAACGCCCCTAATGATTAATAGGAAAATCGATGGTTTCCGGTTAAGATTTTCCCAAGAAAACCAATCCATTGATTAAACATATTTGGAGCTTTCCGTTTAGTCATGGGGGTACCCCTTAACGTTATCATCCACATTTTAATGCTATTTTCCATGAAAATTATCAGAATCTTCATGGATTTTCCGATCTGCAACAATTCCGCCTGGGCGATGAGATTCCCAATGCCTTTCCACCAAACATCGAAATGTTCCTGGGGGCGACTGAGGAGTTGGAGCCGCAACTTGCTGACCCAAAAAATCATTGGAACATATGGAACATATATATATAGTATTAAACTATACTAACATACATGATAACTATATTGTATATACATACATACACAATATATAGTATATATAAAATATAAATAATTATATATGATTATATATGTATTATTAATGATGCTCAACATCCTCTCCTGATTAAGAATAAACAAGCAAAAACAAACCAGCAACAGCCGACCAAACAAAGATAGAGTCACTGTGCTTGGTAGCATGAACTCCAGGTGTTCTTCAACGAGATGTGGAGTGGAGGCATGTACCCTCTGGTTAACATACAAAAAACGATGGAAGATCACCATTTTTAATTGGACAATTCACTATAAATGGCCATTTTCAATAGCCAACTGTTAAATTACCAGAGGGTATCTCACGTACTCACGATGTAGGCTCCAAGTGGAGTTTTCGTTTGAACCTCTGTACTGACCCGCACAAAAACCATCACACCCATCCTGCACCTGTCCTTGCACAGAATTGGTCTAGTGACATCTCTAAACCGCCACTGTTCAATTTGCATTGACATGTCCTGGCTTGCTCATTTTAAAAAGTAGATACCCTCTGGTAAACTAACAAAACTATGGAAAATCACCATGTTTAATGGGAAAACTCACTATAAATGGCAATTTTCAATAGCTATGTTAGTTTACCAGAGGGTATTAATTCTACAACTTCAAATCATTTCAAATCCAAGGCCGTAAGCGCATCTTCGTGCAATCTAATGGATCTTTACTTCATTTTTTCTGGCCTTGGAGGCTTTCCAATGTTGGCTGAGACTCATAGGTGGCGAAGTACACTGGGCACTCGGAGCACACCAATGTGGCGGGACTTCCTGTGATCTCGCAGGTGTACTTCACGCCCTGTCTGCCGATTGAACCATGGTAAAACAAACGGTGCAAGAAAACATGGGGATAGAATCAGATTCGAATGGGATTTATGACTTAAGATCATCTAGGCATCTCAAGTCATGGTGGATATTAACATCCCCTGAAAACCAAACTGAAAACCAAAGGGCTTTGACATCTTTGATATCTTTGATCTGGTCCTACATCCTGAAGGTCCAGGTACTCCAGGTACTGGCATGGTGCTATCCGTCCAGAAAAAAAATATGATAGCACATATGGTGAATCTGATGACGGGACGGGTGACTCATAAATCTGACATTTTGAAGATGTTTCAATGGAATCATTTTCAGAAAGAATTCAGAGTTACCAAGATCCCAAGAAAACAGCTGGACTTTTGCAAAGCCGTGACGCGCTGTGACTTTTGCAAAGCCTGTGATGGCCAACAATGGTTTCTGAAGGCCAGGCCTTGTTCCGTGCAAGCTGGTTGATTGGAACAGCCGTCATGACCTGCACCATCTGCACCATGAATCGGTGACGTGCTCTCCGAGAGGTTCGATCGAAGCAAGATGGGGGCTTCCAAAGCTGGTCGGTGGTTTTTCGCCCTACCCCTCTGAAAAATGATGGAGTGAGTAACAGTTGGGATTATGACATTCCCAATATATAGAAAAACATAAAAACATATAAAAGCCATGTTCCAAACCACCAACCAGAAAGTCATGGGGGTACCCCCAAATCAATCCATTTTCAACTTTTCCATGGGAGTTTCGAGCTGGGTAGCCCCATGGATTGGACACCGAAAAAAATCGACATGAAAAAAATTGACATCGGCAACCCTGTCTGCCTCAAAGCTGCACCCAACTGGGACTCAGCCCAACGCTGTTTTTGGGCCATGACAACGGCTACAGCATGCGTTGTCACTCGGCATTTTAAGCATCACACAGCAAGGTCGTGGCATGTCGTGGCCATCACAGGGGCAACTCAACAACTGGGTCAGTCTGAAGGTCAGATTTAGGCGACTCAGAACTTGAGTGGCTGGACTCTGGACTGCGCTCATCATGTTTAAACTCCAGACGCCTCTCTAGACCAAGTGTCTGAAAGCACCGTCACTTCGGCAGTTGAAAACTTCCCATCACATCCGCCATGCAAACCAGTCTGATGCTAGTCTGACGCACTGCCATTCTGGAAAAGCTCGTTTTGAAAGGCTCCTACGTCGCCTACGCTCATCTTGCTTTCTCCTAGATCTAGTAGGATTGGCCCTACTGAAAGCTCTTAGTGCAAAATTATTTGCAGCTACCGCGATAAAGTAGCAGTCCATGATGAAAATGGATTCTTCCTTATCGCAGTTGGGGACACACTTGTGACGCTGAAGATACGAAAATATGCAGAAGCTCCTCCATATTTCAGGCCAAGTTGCTGCTCTCAGTCCAGCTGTCCAGCTGCCCGGCTGCCATTTTTCTCCATGCACTTCGTAAGTGTGGTTCTCTGAGTACCACACGGGTCTTTGGTTAGCAGACTCACTTTTCAGATCTGCATTGCGATTGATGGGGCACCGTGACTTGCGGGAAGTTTTACTTCCCATGAGGAAGACCAAACACATTTTGGATACAGGAACATGATTCACTTTCCCCATTTGTTTTGAATCATGGCCAGCCGCAATTTCCTGTCTTGTCCATGTCAATACTAGGACTGTGGTCGAAGTTATGCACCATGCCTCGGTATATCTTGCTCCTTGTCCTATTTCTTGGTGTCTTCTCCTCACAGCTTTTCAAGACGTCACGACGTCCATCATCGCCATGGAAGACGTGGATCAATCTCACTTGGGAGAGAACCAACGGAGGCTCAGCGTCGTCCACGCGGCAAGTCATGTCAGCATCCCAAATAACCAAGACGTATCCCAACTACCAGGCTATCCAAACGCATATCATATAGCATATCATGGCACATTCTATAGGAAATGCCGCTATGCAGGGCAAATAAAGCTTCTACACATCTATATACATCTACCGCATATACTGCTGCCTGTGCCAGGCCCTTCAAAAGCTCGAGCGATTCAAAATGCAACTGCAACACAAATCAAAGGGTCCGAAAAAAAATCGTGTGAGATTGCACTGGATTGAAACAACTGGAACCAACTTGTCATTTGCCCATGTCCACACATATCACACACCAATAAAACAGATAAAACAGCAAGAAACCTGGCACTGAGCGCATGAAAGTTTTGGATGTTCTCAAAAGGTGGCCTTGCAAGTCGCGGTGGCGTCACTTGGAAGACATTCAGAATGCATTGAAGGAACAGGATAGACTCAGGTTCAAATATGGAGGTTTCCAGTCATGGGGGTACCCCTAGTTATCATCCATTCGAAATGGGATCTTCCATGAATTTTCCACCATCCAGCGATAAAGGGGTACCCCCATTGATGGAAACCCAAAAAAGGTCAATTGGCATTGCACAGCTTGTTATCGAATATGTGATCATGCTAGGACCAGGTCCGATATAGGAGATGATGTGCAAAAGGATTCTTGTGGAGACGCACATCCAGACCCTCAATGTCCGTCAGTGATGTTTATGTCAATGGATTGGTTTAGTTGGGGAAATCTACAGGAAACCCATGGTTTTTACCATCAAATATAGGGGTTCCCGGTTAAAATTTTCCCATCATCCAATTCTATGTTTATGATGTTTCTGATGGTTCTCAGCTTCTGGATCTCAACAAAGCATCTGAGCTATGCATCATTGGAGGAACAGGGCTCTAGCCTTATGCAGGTTTCAAGGTGAACTATGGTGAACTGACACTCACTCTCTGCTTCCATTGATTTGGTGGCCGGCCAATGGCATGGCTTGCACACACACACACTATATATATAATATTATATATATTATATATTTATTATAATATATATATAATAATATTAAATATATAATATTATTATATATATATATTATATAATATTATATATATATATATAACATCTCCACACACCAATGAATTTCATTTTGAACCAACCAGGGTGTCCAACCAGGGCAACGATTCCACCTGCAATGACGCAATGAAGTCTGCTTTCTCGCTGCAGGCGACACACTTCACTCCCAGCAACTTCACCTGCAAGTTGAAGCAGTTGGGGGCACCGGGAATCATTAACTAACAGTTAACCATCATTAACCATCATTAACCATCATTAATTAACCATTAAACATCATTAATTATTCCCGGAGTTTCAAGAACCTGAAAAAACCGCCTTCAAAGAACCTGAAAATGTGGGCTGGGAAAGAAACGAAAGTGCCGATCAAACCACAAGAAAGGCAACTCTTGGCTTTCTGGAGGCTGACTCACTGTCAGCTGACTCACTTAACCAACCACTTCAAAACAAACAGAAGGATCAGAACGGGCAATAAATGTGACTGCAAAGATATGCATGCATCTCCTTAGTGTCCAAGATGCCAAGACCAGGGATACCGAACTTGCACGACGCCAACTACTTTCCGACGTTCCGACAATAATATGAACAAATCGTCAAAACCGCACCAAATAAAACCCAACAAATTTCACAGGAGTGGGTTCAGTGGCAAGTCACTTTCCGATTTTCCTATTGATTCCCTGCTTTTCATAGAAATTCATAGACATTCATAGAAATCCATAGAAATTCATAGAAATTCATAGAAATTCATAGAAATTCATAGAAATTCGGCATCTTCCCTGGCCCACTAGTGGCACCCTGGCACACCCTGGCACCTGCTCGCGAAGATCCTTCAAGGACCAAGTCTGAAAGTCTTCCTGGCTCCATGGTGCTGGTATATAAAAACCTACAAAACTGGGTGATTTTTAGGACAAGGGCAGTCATGTTGGTAAAAATATTCCAGCACCAGCGTAAGCGTATGGGTATATATAGATAGATAATTGTACTATATAGATCTATATAGATCTATATAGATAGATATATACACACACCTACTGTATATATATATGCATACAATTGCATACATACACAATAGCTATAACTACATGATTATATGTAACTATTTAAAATGAGATACATAACTGTGTAAAGTAAGTATGAGCATGGGAAAAATGTAGCAGCTATATATAATGATTAGTTTGTTGCACTACACAACAATAGGCATCAGTTGCAACATGCACCCGCATGAGAACAAAAGGAGCCAAATGCAATGCATTTCAAAATTTCAATCGTACAAGCGATGTACACATATAATCACATATAGACTGCTGATCATGCTGTGCACGAACACATTATCAAGTACCCTCCATCACTCGTGTACATGTGATTCCTTTCCGAATGGTTGCTTTGCTTTGCTTTTGATGTTCTTTTTTGTGTACCCTCTGGTAAACTAGCAGTTTGCTATTGAAAATCTCCATAGAAATAGTGGATTTTCCCATTAAAAATGGTGATTTTCCAGTTCGCTATGTTAGTCATTACCAGAGGGTAATTATGTTTTTGGGCTTCTGTAGAGGTCTCTTGTGCATCTGGTCCGCTTAAGCTTCTCCACGGTGTTGGAGTTCAGACATATCAGTTGATTAAATGTGAGAGATTCACGGACATCTCAACTGAAAGTTATAGTAATTATAGTACATCTATTAGTGGAATTGCATGTGCAATTTCAATCAATTTCACAGGCAAGCGCTAATATCTTTGAGATACTCAATACCCTCTGGTAAACTAACATAACTCTGGAAAATCCCCATTTTTTATGGGAAAATCCACTATAAATGGCCATTTTCAATAGCAAACTGTTAGTTTACCAGGCCGGGTATCTCTATATAAACACACAGTGCGTGCACTGCCAGTTTTGGAGCTGAAAAAAAATCATTTCACCTGGGCAAGAATATCCCTGAGGGATTTTTTTTGCCCTTTTTGGCACCTTTCTGCCAAGTTACTAACGTCCAAAAGAAGTAGGATCAAATGTGAAAAAAACACATCTTGACAGGCTGAAGTTATTGTGAATAAGACTGGTGTTTCATGGTGTTTCATGTTTCCCAAAGTATATACCATGATGATCTGGTTGGACGTGGATGGTTCGAACCCGTATACTGAAGACTAGTCCATTGGTGCAATTGTAAGGATAGAATCCGATAGAACTTCAAGAATCTTCACCTGGGCAAATATGTATGGCTAGGTATAGCAAGTTGCACATCACCCGCGGTGAAATCCACTTATTTCACAGGCTGCTTTTTTGGCTGCAGTATACTGCACCTGTCAGTTAGCTTTCCTAAATTTCAATGACTGATAGAAATGACCTCAGCGAAAAAAAACAAAAAGTTCATCATGCTGACCTCAGCATCTCTTCCCAACCTCTCCCCAGAAAACTGCCTGCTTGACACAGGACTCCTCCTCAACAGGGTTCTCCTGGGCCGACCATCCCGCTGGGCCATGTGCCGAGCTGAAGCCCGTCAGATGACCGCTGAAAAAACGATGTTTTTCTGAACACGAAGATATTTTTTTCCGAGAAAGCCATATGGGATTTGATTAAACCCTGAGGTCATTGATGATCATTAAAACGATCATGGGAAAACCATGGGTTTCCCCCATGGGACCAAGGCACCGAAAGATATCTCTCCGCATCCAGGGCAGCCATGGCTCCAGAGCCGGCTGAAGTGATGGCCTGGTGATGAAATGAGCCCCCGACAGAGAGAGACGACAGGGGAGACACCATGACATGGTTGAAATACCCTCTGGTAAATGGGATTTTATGGTGGTTTAATGGGATTTTATGGGATTTTATGGGATCTAATGGGATTTTACCATCTGGTTATAGCCATTACCCTCTGGTAAACTAACAGTTTGCTGTT